TTTGACGGAATACATACCAATACCTGAGGGGAAAACTGAACTGACTTTACATTACTCATCAACAAGTCCAAACCCCACAAACGTCAGATGCATTTTCAAATACGGCGAAGGAGAAGAGACACAACCAGTTAGCCTTACAAATGGTATATCAATTTGGAAGGTTTACTTTTATGAGTCAGCGGGAAAAAAGAATGTTAATTTTACCTGCACAAATAACCTAACTACTCAGAGTGTAAATGCAACTATGTATGTGGAATCATACAGTCTATCTGAATTTGACTTTGAATATCAAACTCCAGTTCCTATGAGCATGGCATTGGAACGAGTTCAGCCGACCGAGGAGTACCGTCATTACTACCGATCCGTTTCTGTCCCTGTAAATGTAACATTTTCTATTTCTTTAAAGAAATTTAAAAGACTTCCGCCTGGTATGAATGTCATTTGGGATTTTGGAGATAATTCGCCCGTTCAATCATTTCTCTTAGAGTCTAAAACAAAAAACCACACCTTTTTTGTCAAACGCGGAACTTATACTATGACTATTGAAATAGGGTCCCAAGATAATTTCCACATATTTCATCGCAGTATCACTTTAGGGGTGATTCAATTCAGCTGTTATCCTACAGCATTTGACTTGAGGGATACAGACGTTACCTTTGCTGCAAAAGGAATCCCCGGTGACGCTACATATACATTTCATACAGATTCCAACTCCACGATTTACAGACGATCTTTTCATTATGCCATCAGCAGTCTAATGAATGTCTACACATACACAGTCAAGTATCAGAAGTATGGATTTTACATTCCATCAGTTATTGGTAATGGAGAAAGAGTATATCTTGATCAACCCTTGATTGCAGATTATAAGTTAGAAGATAGTTTATACCTTGATGTTCATCCAGATCCGATTCCCCTTCCACCCGGAGACATAACAATTAGAGTTCACACCTCGTCTATTAAACCTAGACCATACATAACCTGCAGCATGAAAGCGGGAGATGCAGTTGATCGCGATAGTGTTTTCTACAAAAAACAGAATGTAACAAACACAGAGCCGCTAGTCTTTGTATATACCTACACCAGTCTTGGAGTGCCTACTATTAGCGTTAATTGTTCAAATTACATTGCTGGCAAAACGATGACAAAGAAAGGAACGGTTATTAACGCATGTTTTGAAGCAAGGGGTGTATTTGATCGCCAATACTCGGTACCCAAGGAACCAATGAAAGTCTATAAATCTAGTGATTTGTACATTAGAAACAGAATGCATATCTATTGCGAGAATGAAAAACCTAGTTTTCAGTGGTATATATATTGGGCAAACAGCAGTGGTAAAACAAATTCATTGTACCCATATGAAAATCCTCTTGAAGAAACAAAGGGTACACTTCTTATTAAAAGGAATGCATTTCCAGAAGGACAGTTTTATCTTTTTCTTAATATATCCCTCAGCAGCACCTGGATATCTGAATACAGCTACCTTAACTTCTTCAGTTCTATTCCTTTTGCCTACATCAGCGGTGGAGATTATGTCATAAGGTCTAATAATTTTTCATTTGATGCCTTGACGGAATCTCATATAGCGACCGGAGATTTTGGAGAAAATGGGAACTTGACTTTTTCATGGACCTGTAGAAGGTATTTATATTTATAAAACGCAAATAACTAAAATTTTATTTGAAGGAAAAGTATATACATATGTATACTAATCACAATGAAGTAACAATTATCATTACGTTATTCAGAATCCCTCCAGTGAATCTAAGAGAACCAAAAATAGTACTCAGTGACACGTCATCAGGCACATGTTCTGTTAAAGAGGTGTCACGTGGTGTTTGTCAGTTGACTTCTCCAATATCAGAATTATTTGACTATGCCCTTACGGTTACTGTGAAAGAGGGATCCTCTCAAACACAATTCACACAAATTGCAAGCATAAGGGAAGAAGGATTCACGGATCTACAGATTAAGTATTATGAATGCAATTATTATAGAAAAAGATATGTTTATTAAGTTTTCATTCGTTTTAATGGAAGTTGATAAATTGTACAATTTATTTATACAATTTTACAGCTGCAGCTTGAACTGTAACGACAAAGTTGCCGTATCATCTAAATTGGCATTGATAGCTTGGTGCGCCTCCTGTAAACCAGAACATGAGGTTCAATATGTGTGGACACTGTGGAAAGACGAAAGTGGATCGGGGTTGTTCCAACCGGTGCATATTTTGCCTGTAGTCACCGGGAACGGTACATTTTATTAAAAGGGATTTAAATTTTGATAAATTTTATTTTGAAACATAAAAACCCACAAGCTTAATCCTAAGAGCATTGTAATTAATATCTATGTTAATGTTGAAATTATTTGTATTTTTTTCTTATTAACAGATACTGTTAAACAAAGCTTCATCTTACCAAAGTTCTCTTTAACACCTGGAAATACCTATTTGGTGACTTTATATATGACGGTTGTCAACGAAACGAATGTAAGTGGGGACGTATACAGGAAATTACGAACTAACGCCCCACCTACTGGAGGCTCTTGTTCTATCGAACAGAAAACAGGTTAAACATATTTTCGTCTTTTTTTTCTTCAGAAATATACATGGCAAAAATAGTTTTATTGGAACAGTTATTTTAGAAAAATTATTGCTACCAATAATGTGTTTACTGAGATTTAAATTATGACATATGAATTCAATATTTAAAAAAAAAAAAATTAAACAAATATTGATGAGAATACAAGAAATTTTTAACAAGACATTTCAAAACTAGGAAAAACAAATTTTCATTTGGTTTTAATAAAAATATTCGTATAAAGAAAAGAAAATTGAAAGTCAAAAAATGAGCTTATCAAAGTCAGACTTAAAAGAAGACCTGCAATAAGATTTATTTTTGAGATATGAATGATAACCTCTTAATACAATAATAATGTAAACTTGTTTAAAGGGTATGGCTATATTAATTTCCCCCTTTTTTTGGACGATATTCTACATTGAGTAAAATGCATACTATTTCTGTTAGTTTGGTATGTCTATCACCCTCTAAATGAGTAAATATAAATATATCCAAAGAGTAATGAATGATCATGATCATCTTTGAGAAAATTCAGAGAGGTAGATACGTGGAATTATTCTATTTCCTTAATCTATCTTTTAGCTATAGTAACTAAGAACATAAAATCAAAATATTGAAAACAATTAACAATATGCAAAAAAGGATATTTTACGTACATGTACTGTACATGAAATACTACTAAAATTGAAAGAAAAGTGAAAAGTTATGCCATGAAAACTATGATTGCTATGCTTCAATTATTTTCATGATAGACTCACTGGTCGTTCTTCTAAGCGTGCAGTGCTCAAATTGGATCGATACAGACGAGGATGAAAACGTGTTCACATACCTTTACGAAACAGTTACAAAAAGGAACTTTACACACGGAGAGGAAAACGTTGTCAATTTTCTCTATGAAGGAAGTATGTAAAAATTTTATACATTCATTTCGTTTTAAAACTTATAAAGTTTTCTTATATATAAAATGAAATTAGATGGAAGATGTAATGTCACATAAGAGCTTATCTAAATCATTTCAGGAAGGTAGTTACTGTTATTTAATTCTTAGATGATTTTAAACTTGGGATTAAAATTCAAAATGTTTAAAGAATTATTTTAACAAAGTGCTGATGCGGCAAATATACTTGTATGTAAACTAGCTAGGCTTTGTGTTGCAATTAACAGCTCAACAGTCTCTTTAACCTTACATGCTTTTATGAGCAACTAATTGCACCTTATAAAAATGTAAAAAAAAAAAAAAAAAAAGATAAAGAGAGAGAGAGAGAGAGGGGGGGGGAGAGAGAGAGAGATAATGAATTTTGCAGTTTTATTAAAGTTCTTATATTCATAATTGATAGCTTTTGATACTAGGCTTTTTTTGCACGAATAACAATTGACCATGATGCGATAGGTAAGTTATGAATTAAGTTTTCATAGAACCTTTTTAAAAAATGAACATCATTCCCGCTGGAGTGCCTTCCACATATCCTTTTGATTGTTAGGACGTTTTGACCAAAAGTCTTCTTCAATCGACCGCAAATATCGCATACTGGGTTTCAATCTGGAATTTTTTTCCGGCCACAGAATTTTCGAACCTGCACTGTGTTTGAAAAACTCTATCATGGTCTGAAGGACTATTTTTGTACCATTTGTGTTTGTTAAGTATCTCCAAGAAAGCGATTTATTTCTGTAATATAGAACTATGCCATAAAGAAAAAAAGCACAAGGGAGTTTGTTAAACACAATGCATTTCATATACTTCCGTGGCCAGGACACAGTTCTGATTAAAAATCCAAATATAACACTTGGGGTGGAATAAGGAAGACATTTTCTTAAGTCTTAACATGTCAACGACGCTCGACTTAAAAGGTACTAGTTTATGGAAGACACACCAGTTTGGATAGTGCTCAATTCTGAAATCTTTCTGAGGAAACCTAATTCTTAGCATACCTGCTCGCAACTTTGCTCTAGAAAGATAAATATCAATCACGAATAGAATTTCAAAATTCATCATGCATTCAGTGGTAATACATTTCTTTTCAAACTATGCATTTAAATCGTTCACAAATGCATGTTATTTTAAACCAAAATTGATCTGTTCCTTTTTTTAGTATTCCAAAATTACATTAAATTTTTAATCTATTGTAACCTTTATTAAAGGTGAGAGTCGCATCTTAGATGTCCCCGTGCAGCCGGGAGATCCTGTTTTTAATCACACAGTTACCGTCCGAGTTCGGATTCTCGACATCTATGGGGATTATGGAATATATTCTTCAAATATAAGAGTACTATTTTTATTACATTATTTTTTGTCCTTTTTATCCACAAAATATTTGCTTAGATTGATTAAACTCGGACCCCCACTCTTTAAAAATGATCTTACTCCTATACAAGGCATTCTTTTAGTTAACAAGTATATATATGAAGTGTAATGCTTTACTTATGCAGGTTATACAACCTTCCAACTCTCAGCCTGAAGATGTAGATGATATTTCAACAATTGAGTCTTCGTTTCAAAACTTTGATTCAAAGTTCAACAATTACAATCTGTCAGGGAATGACATGCATACCTTGAGTTTATTAGGAGCTGTTGGAGCCGGTTTCAAGCAATTCCCGTTTGTAAGTACTGGATTTCTTGACTTCTAGTGTACCAAGTATGTCTTAAAGATATGGTTAGAACGTCGTGGAAGAGTGTTTTGAAAGGAAAGGGTCAGATTCAAGGATACTATTTTCATATTTTTAAATATTTTTTTAACTTGTATTTTTTTTTTAAAGATTGAGAATACAACAACTGAAGAAGAAGTAAAAGGTGATATAGAGTCCATTAACATCGACACTTCCGGAGGGGGACCTGTGTTTCTTGTTTATCAACAGGTAGACTGTAAAAACATAAAATACATGCACTTCATATTGTTGTTTACTTTTTCACAAATCCTCACAAGCATTTTTTTTTCAAAAACAGAAAACTGAGAAGCTTCTTCAACTAGTCAAAAGTGTTGTTACCCCTGGCTGTGCAAATTCTATCGACAGATTCAAATTAACAGACATGCAAAAGATTTTTAGCACCTTGGATTCTCTGACTCGCTTTGAACCGTATTTGTCCTTGGAGGGAGTGGTTTGTATAAATCAAATCGGAAATTTGCCAGACTTTAAAAATATCTGTCAAATCGGTTGAGTTGACTGATAACATAAATTTTTCTAGTGAAAATGAGAGGTAATTCATAATTCTGAATATTTCATAATTGTCTAATTAAATGTTAATAATTTATTATCAATGAATTGATAAAATTAAGTCTATTTCAAACAGAACATAACGGTAGACATTGTCGACACAGTAATTGACTGTTTGGAATATGGTAGCAGAAGAACTCCTCTATCTGCAAGCACAGTTGAAGGTTTAACAGACATTGCTAATGGTAAGGCTCTACGCTGTATTCGAATTTGGGAGACCTCCAATATAAAAACAGTTTTTCTCGCTTGTTTAAATTTTTTTTTAATTTGTTCAAGTTTGTTTTTCTTCTTGGACAAAATCTTAAAATTTCTCCAAATTTATTTTACTACAAGAAAATCTTTCAACTTATGTCTCATTAGAAAAGTTTAAAATGTAAATGAGAGCTAAATATGCAAAAATAAGAAGAGAACAATTTCTGTACATCGTATTTTTGTAATTTCTTAAAAGCATTTTTAAAAGGGCACTATTCTCAAAAAAATTATGGAATAATCACCAAATGTTCATGCTAGTTTATCACCGTGTATTGGACAATGTCTTGAACAAGATGCTACCTCGGAAGCTGCAAGACTTGGATGTCGAGCTTTCCGAAGACAATATAAGAGCGGAAATCATGTTGCATGTCAAATTCTTCCTACAAGAAACCAGTCTATTAAAACAAAATCAAGGCAACATAACTTTAGACTACCAAAGCATTAATAGACAAGTCGATTTTATTTATCGAATACGAGCACATGGGCGACAGTTTCAACTTCAGCAGAGAGAAACCGTATGTAATTAATTATATTTACAATAAAGCAATATCTTATCTTTATAAAATTGCCTGTTCAACATTAAAAAAATTGTCTTTCTTAAATGGGTAGATAAATTTTAAAGTAGTTTTTACTAATCAATTTCATGTAGGAAAATCACAATTGTCAATAGAGATTACTTTTAATTGTTCATCTCTGTTTGATAGCCACAGTATTAAATGAAAGAAATACTATTTATAATTATTTCTTAATGATCTATATATTATGTAATATATTATATATCGGAAGTGTTTTTATTCATTCTCACAATTATTTCAGGCAAGAAGATGTATCCCGATTATAAAACGAATTCAGTCAGTCTTTCTAAATGTCATGCAAAAAACTATTGTTTTGGGCGAGCGACTTCATTTCAATGCTATTCGTGTATTAGAAATAATGTTAAGGAAGGCCTCCTTAAACGATCTTGCAAATGCCCCGGATGAGTTTTTTGGAGGTGTACATGAAGTGAATGGCTCAGACAACTACGCATCCTACTTGGAATTATCAGTATTTTCTGACATTTATACATCTCTTTTTTAATTTATGCGTTAAATTTAATGTTAACAATATATAACTATGATAAAAAAAATATTGGCGTAAAGAACTATATACGGTAAGGGCGTATTCCTGCCCCCATAATAGTCAAATTTTGAAAATCTCTTGAAATGAGAAAAAGTGCATATATTGTATAAAATAATCCAATTTAATACAATATATAATGAAATTGGAAAAATTAGTTGGCTTTTCTTGTCTCTGTGACGTCACAAACTATTTGGATTTCCGTTATTTTTAAAATAGAGGCCAAAATGTACAGAGTTTGTTCAATTTTGACTATAGTATTTATAGAGCGCAAGCTTGCTCAGGTACCATATTCACACATTTCATTGATATTATCATTCTACTTATTATATCAAAAGATCTAGTCTGAGCAGACCTGCGCTCGATAATTTCCAATCAAAATACCGACGTAAAATACACTATTTTCTCTCAAAATCATTGCAATTTGGAATTTACGTCATTTTATTGACGTCATATCTAACTAATGATGTCATAGTTGATAAAAATATTTAATGCTTTGAAGTCTGCAAATATCCACCTGGTTTAGAACATAATTAAAGATTTCTCCATCAAAGTTTTATTTTGGGGGCAGATACTGGCCACTACAGAATATAGTCCTTTGGAATTGTTTTAGTCAAATTGAAAATAGTTTTAAGGTTTATAAACCCTCTGCTCACTCATATAAAATGTATCTTTAACTCTTATGATTTTCCAAAGGAAATGTATATGCTAAGTAAAATACAAACAATTATAGCATGGCTTGCGGGACAAAATTGGAGAAAAAAGACACTTAAACTTTACAAATTTATAAAGGAATACTAGACATTTATGTCATTAAGAATTATATCTCAAATCAGATGTACCTTAAAAGAAAGTTAAGTCAACAAAAAGAGTCATATCCATTTTTTGATAATTCAAATAGTGTTTACATTTAGGTGACTAACTACTTAAGAAACCCTTACATATATGGAGAAAACGCAACCAAGGCAATCTCTTCAGTTCCGGTGATGGTTATCCCCCAGAACATAACTGTGGACACCAATATTCCGAATAAAGGAAACCTGGAATTCAAGAGATATATCCCTCTTATCAATCCGCAATATCCAGAACCGATGATTTATTTTACTTTTGAGATGATAAGTGAAAGAGATGCAGTACTTACTTACATAAAACCTGATGGATTTGATTTTTTGAACCACCAAAAGGTGCCTTTATATTCGTTTTACTTTAGTTCAGCTACATTTCCAACATCCAGTGCTTTTGATTACAAAAAGGTCCTGAGTGTTAGAGATTGGACAAAATATGGATTTAAAGTGTTTCTTCCCGGAGGTATATGTGGAAAAGGACTTTGTTATCTAGGCGTAAAACCCCTCACAGGTAAATGATACGGTTACTGCACATAAGCAATTTTGTGAGTACAATAATCCTGAATGAAAATATGTTTTAGGCATATTTAACACTTTCATATTCTTAATATTACATATTTTAATGATGAATTAATACGAATACTAAACTGAGGAATTTGCAAATTAAAAAAAAATGACTTTGGAGCGTTCTCGTTGTCGAATAGTTCAAATATTGTTATCAAATAAAAATAATTATAAAGACGTGAAAAGAAAAAGGAAAACTATTTGTTTAGAGAATAGTTTCGAGAGTAATAATGAAAAAGGTAAAGAGTTTTGATTGATCGAATTTACTTTCAAATTTGTTTTTAGCTCCCGACCCCGATGATTTCTCGGGATCTAGAAAAAGACGAGCAGCAGAACCTTTAGCAACTGTCGGTCCACCAGAGAGCACAACCTTAATTGTTAACTCTTCGGAATTTATTCCAATTGAGGCAAACTTTAGCATGCTATTTACAACTACAGGATGTCGAACCTGGGAAAACGGAAACGACTCCTGGACAATGGAAGGGTGTCAGGTACTTGTAACAATTGCTTACTGTGTTCCATGTAAAGGTATTTTATAAAATTAGTTTGATAAACTACTGATCCAACTTTATTAAACATCCTTCTGTTTGTTAAATCTCTTCAAATCTTTGTTCACAGCAACTGTAAATTAAATTTCAGTCACATTTAGCACATTTTTTTTTTCAATATCTTCATGTTAGTATAAGTAGTACATTTCGGAAGAGACTTTATATTTTGGTGTCTATTTCTCACACAAATCAACCAATACTCACTTTTATCTCTCAGAACTCTATCATGCACAACAAACAAACGACAATCGAAACGATAAACTTACCAATTATGAATTACCCATGCTTGCTTATCTTCTCTCTCTCTAACTAATCAAAATGTCACTCCTGGGAATCAGAGCTACAACGCCTGCATCGTGCACCTGCAACCCTATCAGACCGTTCATACCACTGTTCTAACTTTCTCATTTTTGTAATTAACTAACACCGGGGGATTGCTCTGTACCTCCCGTCTTAAGTGTGGCGATCCGACACACACTATAATGTGTCCATGACAACATTGCACTTACAAACTTTTTAATTTATTCTACCTCATCGTCACTAAATGCAAAACATATTTGATCTTTTCTAACATCCCATTTAGTCATACCCTCACGCTCTTTTTCACCCAGAATAGGGCTCAAGACACTTTCAATTCATTGACACAGCCATATTCTATCTTACAGTCCTTACTGACCTCTATACCATTTAATTTAACCATCTTTCAAACCACCCTCTGCTTGTCTAATTGCAGAACGAAATAAAACATTCTCATACTGTACGTGTACATAAATTGGCGTATTCAAAATTTAGCGCAATCACTGGGTATGGAGTTGTTGGTGAAATCGTGAATTAGCGCTATACATGTTCGTGCCGTATATTGTATTTAAAAATGATTTCTTAGCGGTATTCATGAATTAGCTCATCGTTGTCTGCGCCAAAGCCGCTAAAATATGGAGCCCGCTTTTTTAAGTACACATACAGTATATGCCCAGTCTCTCAGAATATCAAATATAATATACAACTGTATAGGGAATTTCTATGATACAATTATGATCTGTATTTTTACCAATTCTAAAAGTCGATATAGTCGCCCATAGCTGAGGAAATAATCACTCCCTGAACTGCTTTCTTTGCAACTCAGTTCTTCACTGACAATCGTCAAGCTGGATCAAGTATCACTCATCATGAACACCTTTGAATTATAAGCACTTCTTCCAGTTTTGGCGGAACAAAACTTAAGGATTCAAATGACAAGCATTTCCTCCAATTTTGGCAGAACAAAATTGATGAGTTAAATGACGACATAGTTTTCATACACATTTTTCACACAATTTCACTCTTTACAGAGTCGCCCGCGTGGCGCAGTGGTTAGAGCGTCTGCTCAAGAGTCGCGGAGTGAGGAGTTGATCCTTACGTCGCGGGTTCGAATCCACTGCGGGACGTGGTGACCGGTCCTTGGGATGAGACCGTATAAACCGAAGTCCCGAGTCGCAGTAGGTGTTGGCACGAAAAAAGATCCCTCACTGCTCAACGGCCTCAAGTGCCGAGTATAGATATAAATTTGCAGCCCTCCACCGGCAAATGGTTGGAGGTCCACATGAGTGAAAAATTCTCGAGAGGGTCATCTCGCTTAAAGTCTCATCTCCAAAGTTCTATGGTCGATACAATGACCTTGTCAGCAAATACAATTTATCATGAAGTCAAATGCTGACTAACGTTTTTCATACTAATTGTTAGGCCATTAATTACACTATTGTCGACGATTTTTCCATTATTTCCCGATCATGACAAGGAGCACATGTCGGGTGTGACCGGCCGGCAGGGTATGCTCACTCCTCCATGGCACCTGATCTCACCTCTGATGTTTTAGAGGTCCGTGTTTGCTCTCCTTCTAAATTTTATTGTTTGATGGACTTTTGAGCTTGAATACTGTTTGTTTTCTCCATTCATTTCACGTTAAACAACAAACAAACAAATTATCTACAGACGAAACTGCAGTATTCTTCTTCCATTGTCGGCTGTTCTCAGAATGATGATGCAGACATTAGTTTTCGGAATCGGCATATTTTTCCTCGTTGCACGGAAGCGCTATGTGTCTTGCTCTTTGGCAATTGTTGCAAATCGGTTTCCCGTCTGTTGTTCTCAAATTTTGGTCCAAATTCCTTTGATTTCGAATTCCTCTCTGATAGCTTCTGTGCTGTCCTTGTCCTCTGTAAGAATGGGGCATCGTTGAGAGTTCCTTCTCGATGGTATCATAGATTAAATTGCGTTGCAATCATGGGCATTTTGGGTAGTAAATTCCTGTACTGTCTCCTTGAGCGCAATGGTGCGTTGTGTGGCGAACACCTCTGCTTTTCCGGATCCATCTTTCATTAGACTGCTATTACGTTCTTCCCTCTTAGCATGTCTAAGGACTCGTTGAATGTCTTTGGATTTGATTACGTAATAAACCGCCCGAATTCAGGTCTTAGTCC